AAAAAAAAAAATTTGCCCGAAAATAATAGCACGTGTACGGTTTAGCACGTGTAGCTTCATGAACGGTAGATAAAGACTGGAAACTAATAATAAACTAAGATGGCGACTCCCTTTTATTGGTGATCCGTAATATATAAATTACGAAATCCTTTAAATGGAGGTACTGAAATTATTTATTTTAAATAAAGGCAATCTTTTTTGTTGTCAACAGGAACTTATTGAGAAGCTTCTGTCAGACATATTGCTGTACTATGTATACATGGGGGCATGTCAGTTCCTGAGAGATTTTCCTGAGAGAATGCCAAGTGAGGAAGAGTGCGGAACTACGGAAACGAGTTTTGCAAAAGCAAAAGAGGAACAAAGAGAAAAGTGACAGTGTATCATTCCAGGTACTTCTTGAATTAGCAATTTGCTAATTTGTTACTCGAACAAACTTAATTTATTTTTTAAAAATAAATATTATTGTTTTATAGGGTTGTTCTATCTTTTTTTCTTCTTATAGGAAATTCTCCGAGACCGAAGCGACAACAAGAAAGTTTCTCATGGTCGTCTTGTTGCCTTTATTAACCAGCACCAAGGCACTGCTCCACTGAGTCGTGTGTACAGCAAATCACAGTTGGTTGCACTTTGTGAAGCGTATAATGTCAGGGTTTCTGCAAGCTCAACAAAGACAGTTATTGGTGAAGCCCTGCTGAATGCTATTACACAGCACATATTTGTTCCATTTACATCTCCGGTGGATGACAGAATTTTTCAGGTAGCAGAAAGATCAGAATCTGACGATGGACACATCAGAATCCGTTTATCAAGAGGTAAATGTAATGACATTAATTTAAATGGTAATGGTTCTTTTAAAACTACTGACTGCAAGTTAAGTACTTTATGAGCATAAAATACTAGCCAGTCTAAACTGAAAAATGCAAAAACCAAATAAAGAAAGTCACTTTAGAGTCTTTTTTCCATTCATTCCTTCAATCGATGGCCTTATGTACACATTGGTGCTGTTACAAGATGCATTGCTCTTTGTACTAATGGTTGTTTGGCCCAGTCTGATGGAGTTCTGCTGCAAGAAGGTGGGATTATCATTCTGGCCATTGCATGAACGTATCTGGCAGAAATGATTCTCCACACAGTCTTGATTTACAATCGCAGGTTTAATTACTGTGACGGGGAATCTAGTCATCTTGTAATGGACCAGAGACTGGAATCCAAGGCACATTGATTGCAGATCAAACCACAACTTAGAAGAGATGAAGCTCTTGCTGCTTCCTTCAGTTTCATTGGCCCAGTGGCACATCCAGTTATAGAACTTGTTTAGCTTGTGAAGTCTTAGGTCCTCAGATGAATTGATGTAAAGCCTATCATTAAATAAGCTGACAATTTCGCTTGTGTGCTGAAGAAGCTCTATGACAGCATCCAAATCATCGCCATCATTTCCAATCTTTTTCAGGTGTTCCTGGTACTTCTGCAGAACACAGAGAAAGTGGAAATACAATGA